GCTCGTTGCACGCGCACGCTCGCGTGCGCGCAGCGGAAGAACCGATGCAGCATGGCCACCCTAAGCTCGATAACTACATGGGTTTCACCGAGTGCCTGACTCGCATTCCGAAGAGGCCCCAACGTGGAACGATGCATTGCGAAACAATGCGCGTTCCTCAGTGCTCGCGCGCGCTCATGCGCGCGCTCATGCGCGTGCAATGCAGAAGCTGATGCCGAATAGCCATCTTAACTTCGCACACTCAACGGCAACAACCTAGCGTTGCACTCATATTCTGGGGGGCTCAACGTGGAAAAAAAGTGGAATAGTGCAATGTGACACAGTGCGATTCCCCCCATGCTCGCGCGCGCGGGCGCGCGCGCGCGCCGGCGCCCGCGCGCGCGCGACGCAAGGAAAACGAAGCCGCATCGCCATGAGGAATTCGAATAATGAGAATTGGCACCAAGCTGTTCCATATATATATACTGCAGGCCCAAGCGCGCACTCATTCATTGCGGCGCAATGCGCGCCCCTCGTTGGACGCGCGCAACGCGTCGACCTGCGCCGAATAGCCATCTTAATTCAGAAAAACCGAATTGCGAAAACCAATAATTTCACTCGCATCAGGGGCCCCATCGTGGAAAAGGGAAATTGTGGCGCAATGACCTGACTGACCTCGTTACTCGCGAGCGCAACGCAAAAAAACCTACGAGGGCAACCGGTGCAGAATAGCCATCTTACTTTCGAGAACAGAATAATGGAAAACCAAGTGTTCCACTCGCACTCTGGAGGCCGATCGCGTGGAATCATGCATTGTGGCCCGCTCTGCGTTCCTCGCTGCGCGCGCAGCGCCAATGCCCCATGCGCAATAGCATTCTAAGTTTAGAAAACACGGACTGGTGAAAACCAATTGTATCACTCGCATTCTGGGGGACTCAACGTGAAATGACGCCTCGCGTCGCGATGTAGTTTCCCGGTTGATCGCGCGCGCGAACATGGCCAAAACTCGCGCCGAATAGCAGCCCTAATTTCAACAACTGAACGGTGGGAACCCATCGTTTCACTCGTAAGCTGGAAGCCTCAGCGTGGAATAGTGCACTGCGGCACAATGCATTTCCCTCGTTGCCCGCGCGCGCAGCGCGCACGCGCTTGCAGCATTTTCCCCGAAAACTCAATTCTGCAAATGACACGTTTCATTCGTATTCTGGAGACCTCAACGTCGAATCGTGCAGTGCGGCGCAATGCATTTTCCTCGTTGTTCTTGCGCGCGCGCACGGGCGCGCGCAACGTGGGAACCAATAGGACAACTGATGCAGAATCGCCATCTGAATTTCAGAGACTGAATGGTGAAAATCAAATATTCCACCCGTATTCTGGGGGCCGCAACGTGGAATAATGCATTGTGGCACGCCGTGCTTGCCTCGTTGCTCGCGCGCGCGCGTGCGCGCGCGCCCGCGCGTGCATAATGCAAACGCTTCTACAAAACATCAATCTTAATCTCGAAAACTCAACGGCGAAGACAAACTGTTTCACTCGTATTCTGGAGGCCTCAACGTGACATGATGTATTGCGACACATTGTATGTTCCTCGCTGCTCGCGCGCGCGCGCGCCCGCGAGTGCACAATGCAAAACGCAAGTACAATGGATAAAAACAATGCGTTTCACTTGTATTCTGGGGGGCCCGACTTGGATGCACGCATTGTGGAACAATGGATTTTCCGGCGCCACGGCATGGGCCGCGCGATGGCGACCGCTTCCAGGGCGCCAAGCCCCGCGGACGCCAAAGAGTTGGCCGCGGCAGCCCAGGGGTCGGGCCCCTCCTTGGCCATGCTTGGGCCTAGCGCAGCGGGGCGTGACATCGCGACCGCATTCCAGAGAATGCACGGGGCCCGCGGACGCAACGAGAAGAACCTCCGCTCCAATGGGAGCCCGGGGGAGGGAAACATAATTCATATTAGATCCTGGGAAACAATGAGACACTGCGAGCTGACATGAGTCCCCAGGCTTCGCGTGGAACCAGCGACGGGCCAGTTGAACGAGTGGGCGAGAATGTGGAGAGAAGGTGGGACCCACAAGAATCATGTGTAAACGCGGTGAACCATCTGGTGTCCTATGGGTACCGATACGGATCTGAAGGCAGGTGAAAGATTCAATGAAAAGCCCGAAGGCACCATCAGGCACCGATTGCATACCACTGGGGTTTACTGCATCGCACTAACAAGGGCCCCAATGATGAAACTTCACATGCGGCGCGTTAACACTTCAACGCGTTCGAACATGATGATCCTGGACGCACAGGGCCCGCTGAGACTACTGACGTCGCTTCCCCGTCGCCCCAAGATGTGATGCACTGCGCGCCTGCTAGGGGCGCTGGGGTTATGCTCTGTAAAAGCGTTTTGCATTTCCGATCGCCCGTCGAGCCCGCGCAACCGAATCCAGATGCGATCGACGACTGGCCTTTTTTATTGCATCAAAAACGCTTCAAACAAACGCTGTGACAATCGGATTCCGAATGTGTTGTTTACTTTCCGTTTGGAAAACATGCTACAACAAAAACACTGTAACTGGCAGATGATGCGTGCGCTGCTCGGGCGAGACTCCAGGCTGATACCCCGCCGCAAGATCCGCGACCGTCCCAGACCCCCAGGCACTCACAACTTAGTAAGTAAATTCGCCGGCCCAACGGGCCAGAGGCGTGCTAAGATCTCCGGTAACTGGTTAACAATTTTCTAGTTCGCGCGCGCGGGGCGGCCCCTGGGGGTCCCCGGACGAAAAGTACCCCGACCAGGTCCCGGCCGGTCCCCGGCCGGGTCCCGGCCGGGTCCCGGCCGGGTCCCCCCGAGCGCTCCATGAGCGCACCAACAGGGCTCCGAGACGTCCCCGAGAGCCCCAAGAAAGGCCAAGAGGCCCCCAAGAGGCCCCCAAGATGGTACACGAGGGGTCCGACATGCCACAAGATCGCTCCAAGACGCCCAAGATAGCCCCCAGACGCCCCAAGAGGCCTCCAAGAGCACTCCCAATAGGGCCCCCGGAGGCAAAAATCATTGTTTTTCCATAGGTTTTTGAGAGATTTTGGAGCTTCCACCTTTTCGGCTTCCCGACGCCCCAAGACGGCCCAAGAGGCCCCCAAGATCGCCCCAAGAGGGCCCAAGAGGCACCCAAGAGGGCCCCAAGATGGCCCAAGAGGGCTCGAAGACGGCCCAAGAAGCCTCCAAAACGGTCCAAGAGGGCCCCAAGAACGCCCCCAAAGGGGCCCCAGAGAGGGAACACGAAACAACATTTCGAGCCCTCGGCCCTAAGAAGCCCCTACGAGGCCCCTAAGAGGCCCCAAGAGGCCCCCACGGGGCCCTCAGGAGGCCCCCAAGAGTCCCCCAAGCGGCCCCAGGAGGCCCCCCAAATGCCCCCCCGAGCGCCCCAGGAGTCCCCCAAGCGGCCCCAGGAACCCCCAAAGCGCCGCATTGACACCAGGCCCTCGGGCAAACGGCAGACATGAGACTGTATGGGCCGGCGGAATGAGCGAAGCGATTAAATAAACCGAAGACTATGGTACATCTGTGTATGATGAGAGCCCGGCTTTCGTTTAGTAGGTACATGCTGCAAAGAGAGCTGAAAGTCAAGGCGTCGCCTCCTCCTTTTCCTCCTCTTCCTATTCCTCCTCCCTGCCGCGCGGACGAAGACGAGATCGGGATCACGTTCCGTCCACATGCAGACTACTCGTTGGAATTGGGCGGTTCCTACACTCAGCCTCCTTCCTGCAAAACTGTTGCACAGGCACGCTGGCGGGGCTTGCCGAAAGCAACTGGATACATCTCTTGTTCTCCCCCATCTCTCCTTTTCTCCGTGACTAATCAACTATGAATACAGCGGCACACACATACAGACACCTTTCACTCGGCAGCATCCGGGAGAAAGCGATAATCTCTGAGACCAAACTGTTCTGGAGGATCCATCGGGCGCCGCGACGGTTCCAGACACGCCAAGCATGAGCACCGTGTCCAAAAATTGCACCGGCCATCCCAGAGCGCTCCAGAACGCTCTGAGAGTGGTCCGGAACGGTCTGGATCGATTTATCCCAGTCCCAGTCCCGCCCGACCAGACCCCTTCCCCGTCCTTCCACTTCGCGTACCCCTGGTCGCAGTCGTACGGCGGGCTCGTGGTCGCGGAGGCGGCGCAGCCCCTGTTCCTGTTCTGGCAGCACCAGTCCTGAGGGGGCAGAGGCCAGCCGGCCCCGGCAGGGTGCCCCATGCGGCACCGGCAGCAGCGGAGACGGCGGTGGAGAGGAAGCCAGTGCCATGGCGGGAGGGAAGAGGGGTCGCAAATCATGGCCCGTGTGCGCGGGCGAGAAGGGGGGGCCACAGAGCGCACGGAAACGAGGAGAGAGAGGCATGAGATCGGGGAGATGTCGCTGCCCGGGCCGTGACGTCCACGCACCGCTCGTCGGCACCCCCCGCTTCGGCGACCCCGAGGGAGGGGTCCCGAGGGAGATGGGCCCTGGGTCCCGAGGCACGCCCGTGGACGATGCTGGTGGTGCGACGATGCCGATGGTGTGAGGGCCCTGGGGGCGGGGAAGGAGCGCCAGGGAGGCCCAAGGCGGACCCAGACCCACGGGGCCCGCTCCCCAAAGACAGGTTGCCCCCTGGGCGGCCCTGGAAAATCCGCCCGCCCGCCTCCCCCTCTGCGGGCGAGTTCGGATCAGAGCCTCGAGGAGAATCCAGCGGCCGCGGGGACCAGAGGGCTAAATAAAAATGAAAACATACCGAATCGATCGATTCCCTAACCTTGGCAACACAAACACAACAATGATGGGCCACCTTCCTCATGGTGAACACACATTGGTATGCGCGAAATGGGTACAACAAAATTAGCGCAATGGACAACAGCAAGTGCTGTCCAACACCACCAGCTGCTGCTGTTGCACAGATGATGTTTGCCCTTCCCATCGGAGGAGATCGATAGAACCAGACGTCCAGCCCGAAGATTCCCAACAGGGCCTCAAGATGCCAAACAGGGACCCAATGGCCCCAAGAGGCGCTTTAGAAGCCCATATAACGCTTGCCACTGGGTGTAAAACATGATACGATGCAACGCCCCTGCCCGTCCTTCTTATCCATCGACCAGCCGTCTCTCCAATTGGCAAATCCTTTGTTGCAATCGTAGGCCTCGATTGTAGTGGTCGGTCCGCATCCCTTCCCCGTGTTCTGGCAGCACCACTCCTTCTTCGGAACTGACCTGCGCGCTCGTTTGCGCAGGAAGTATCATCTGCAACCTTGGACCGAAGTTCGAACACGATAGGAAGCAAGGCAGTACAACAGCAAATGCGAGTGAACGAATGAAGACGTACATAATTACAGATCGAAGCGCACCAGGATCATGGCGATTTCGCAAATTGGGAAGGCGTCGGGGGTACGACATTGCGAACGTACGCATGCGCACACACACGCACAACCACATAGTCCACATAGACATACATGTTCACTTGACCGCACGATCGACGAGACATGTTCAACGTCACCAACGATCCGCAGCGTGAACATGGAAAACGTGCTACACATACTGGGAGGCCGTCAGCAGAGAATGCGGTGGCCGAGGGCAGCGAGGGACAAGGGACCAGTTGTTTCAGAAACCAACACTACATGAACATCACTGCTTGGAAGTCCGAGCGGAAATCTTTCGGTTCGACGGTGGACCGCCAAGCTTGCCAAGGACGGCGCTGGAGGCGCCGCCAATACTGACTCAACGCCGACACGAACAATCCGCGCGAACCTCCGAAGACATGATGTGTGGGCCGTGTCTTCTGCGGGAGGGTCTGGTCAGACGAAAAATTGGGATGGTCTGCCAACAGGGTGGCAGCAAATCAACTGTACGCAATTGGATATCTCGGCGCCTCCCAGCGCAGGCAATGACCACGCATCGAACAAAACGCTGTGAAAGGCAAGAGATTATGTTGTTCAGCTGCTGCGGCTCCAAACCGTCCTCACTGTTGCTCGGTATGCTGGTTCCCGTTGGCCTCTACGTTGGCCTCGCTGCTTGTTGTCAGTGTTCGCCTACTCCCCTGGACCTCCATGTAGTGACTGGTTTTGGCTCGACTTGAGCGCTGGCTCTTTTTGTCCGATGTTGCCAATTCGCCTTGCCCATGCACGGGCACGTGGGCCTAGAGAAGAAACTTGCAATATGCAGGGCAGTTTTTAATACATAGGATTGTTTAAAAATATGATTTTAATACATTTACATGATCAATGTATGGATACATGTATGCATGAACTCATCGTTGTTGTTAGTACTAAATCCTTGCAATTTAACACATGATCCGCACGCGGAGCATGTATTAAAAACGGCACTGTAACCTGCTTAGGCTACGACCAAGTTTGGGCTTGAGCCAACATGGTTGCGGATGGGCTGCATGCACATCCAAGGGATGCATATCAAGAGATTACGCAGCATGCCTCGGTGAACGCCCGTTGGCGCCACAAAGCCGGCCTTGAGACAGAAATGCCGCGATGAGCGCCAAGGGGCGCCACCAGACCGGTCTTGAGACAAACGTGCCGCGGCGAGCGTCGAAAAACGCCACGAAACCGGCCTTGAGCCAGACGTAGGACGATCACGGCACCCCAGAAAGCAGCAGACGGCGAGGCCACATCCCGGGAGGCGATCGCAGCACCCCCAGAAGCACACGGTGAGGCCACAGCCCCAGGGGGCGAACACGGCACCCGGGGGGCGTGCACTGGCGATCCTGGCTGTCGCCGCCTTGGGCGGATGACCAGCTGGAATGCGCCTGAGGCCGGGGATGGGTTGACATACTCCGACGGTGCGCCGAAGGAATAGATAGACCTGCAGTCAACGTTTGATGCGCGATTCTGCACGAGTGAGAAGCCACTGAAACTCCTGAGCGCGATATTGCACGCTGTTGCCGCCTGCGGGCCTCAGACTGCACGATTCTGCTCGAGTGAAAAACCACCCGAATTCCGAAACATACTGTTGCACGCTGTTGTTGCCTACGCCTACGCGCCTCGAACTACACTCACTCTGCCAAGCTCCCGCGGAAAAAAAACAAATCGCGCCCCATTTGTGCTGATCGAAGTCAAGGGGTAAAGAAAAAACTGCCTCCTGACCCTGTGCTGGGACCAGGGTGGTAGGGAGAAGGACGCCTCCCGACCGTCAGTGCTGGGACCAGGGTGTTAAGGAGAAGGTGGCCTCCCTACCGCCGGGTCATTGCCTGGCACGAGCGGGGGCGTTTGCTTTTGAATGTCTTCCATACACCCCTCGCCGAACGACTGCCAGCACAGCCATTGCTGTCGAGTTTAATCGTGCTGCGTCATGTGAATCATCTCCAGCGCTGCTCGGAACCTCGGGCCATTTAGGAGCTTGGTGAACAAGTCGGCTTTCATCTGCAAGGTGGGGCAGCGCTCGGTGCTGAGCTGGAGTTCCTGTTGTTCAACATCCCGTGCAACACACCCACGCAAAACCGCTGCATGCGCACAAGGCAGCGCAGCCGCTTCGAGTAGCCTGTTTGACCACGGTTTGGGCACTCTGAATGTTGTCGACCCTGCAAACTACCCCTATCCTGCGAAGGTTGGCGAGAACAGCTCCATCCACCACCCGGTGGCGGACTTGCTGGTCATCGGGTCGACGATCCAGTCGGCGTCAGAGCGCGTCGCCAGCAGCAGGTCGCCCGCGACGGCCAGGGCGAGCACGCGCATGAGGACGCGCGTGGAAGTGCAAGCAGCATGCGCCACGAGACGAAGGAGGCCCAGTTCGCGGACAATGGTCCAAAGCAACAGTGTGCGACACCCCGCCGCGCAGACGCTGCGCGGCTGCAGCCAGGCCGGGTCGCCCAACGCAGCGCGGGAAGAGAGAGCGCGCAGAGCGCGACGCCACGACGCCTGCAAACCTCATTGAATCCTGCGCCCAAGCCTCGGCCGAAATGCACGGCGCGTCCGCGGGCCAATTGACTGAGCCTGAAGCTGGCGCCACCGCGGAAGCGCCCCGCCATAGCCCAGGCGCATTCGACCATCGACGTCGCGACAGACAGGGGCGCGCTATGGAGCGCGCGGTCGAACGGGTCGAAGGCGCAGCGCGCCCCAACGAAGATGTCCACCAACGACGGCGCGTCCGTGAGCTCGACGCTCTAGCGCGGCGCTTCCTGGCGAGCGTCGCCCTTGCCACGAGCCGCCGCCGTCGCCGACGCACGCGGTCAGCGCGCCCTCGTCGGCCCGGGCGAACACGCCTCGCCAAGAGGGCGCCGACTGCCATCCAAGTCCGAGCAGTGTCCGGGCGAGCTGCCCCCCCCACTGGGCGGCCGCCTGCGGCCAGGCGCGCAAGGCCCGGAGTAGCAGGCGCGCGGGCCGAGCGCAGAGCGCGTAGCTCCCGCCACCCCCCTCGAACGATAAGTCGGGCCACCGCTTCCGGAGAGTCTCGACCCACGTCTCGACCCTGCCGCCGACGTTGATGCGAGCCTGGGAGCAGGCCTGCAGCGGGCCTCGCACTGCAATTCCAAGGCGTTTGAGGAGAGCCGCCGCCAGGGCGCGCCGAACTCCGACGAAAGAAGCCTTTCGGTCGCTCACCTCCTCGCGCCAGTGCACCGCCGCCGCCCCCGTCAGTCCCACTTGAAACGCAGCGCAGAATTTCGCCCCCCTGCCCCCCTGGCGCCCTGACCCAGCAGTGGCCACGCCCGACGCGCCGAGAATGCGGCGCGCCATAACCTCGGCCGTCGTGCCGCCCTGCGCAGGGCCCCCATCGCCCCCCCGCCGTGGAATCGCCAAATTTTCTGGCCACGGTCCCCGGGGAGCTCCTCCCTCATCTATGGCAACCCGTGTCAGCGGGGCCTTCCCGACGACGCGCAAGCCCACCTGTGCGTCTTCCTGTCGACGCCGCGCAGCGGTGTCGCCGCGGTCGGCACGGCCCATAGCGATGCGCAAGATTGACTGCCAGATCAGGCGCGAGAGCTGCTGGTCGCATGGACATCAAAGTCCGCGCCCTCGACGCGACAGCCGTCGATCCACTCCCTCGGCGTCTCCGGCACCTGGGCGCGCGGCTCGAGAGGCGCCAGGGGGCCCGCGCCGCCTGCGAACGCGCGCAGAGTCGTCGGCGCCGCGTTCGACGCAGTCGTCGGCCTGGACATCCCCGGCAGACTTGCGGCGCCCAGGCGGCGCGACGATCAAATCCGGCGCAATCCACCTGCTGCCGCGCGTCGCCGCGCAAACGCGCAGAGGACGTCGGCGGCCGCGCCCACATCGCCCCCCTGCTTCGCGACGCGACAGCAGAGGCCATCGGCGGCCCCGACAGGGCAGTCAGGGAGCTAGCTCGGCGCGCGCACTGCGCTGACCCAGACGCGCAGCGAAATGCCGCGCTGGCCGCAAGCTCGGACGACGCCGCGCCGCTCCCAAATGGCCCCCGCCCCGCGGGGCTCGCCGCCGCATGCGACAGTGGCGGTCAGGGCGCGCCGCGGCGTGAGATCGGCGGTCTTCGGCCCCTCCCCCGAGCAAATGTGAGCCGCCGCATCCGTGAACTGCCCGCGCTGCATCTTGGCGCGAGCCGCTCGCGAGATGTCGCGCCGCAATCCAGGGCAGCTCAGCAGCGATTCCAGCTGCCGCGGCTCTTGCCTGGAAGCCCCCCCCGGCCCGCCTGGCACGATCGCGCGTCGCCCCCCAAGCATCTCGAGCAGCGGAGCCCGTGAAGTCCTCCCCCGCCCATTCCGGGCGCGACTTCTCCTGGTGAGATTCCTGGAACGCAAGCCCTGCTGCGGGGAGGGCCGCAAGCGGTCTCCGGCTCCGAAGCGGAGGCGAAATCGGCCGCGCGGGAAAGCGGCCGCGCGGGAAGGCGCCAATCCCCAAGCCCTTGGGCGCCCGACCCCCCGACCTCCAAAGTCGCGCAGCCGGGGGCAGTCGCGCGAGCGGTGCTCCTCGGAGTTTCGCTCGCTGCATCTGAAGCGCGATCCGCCAGGGCCCGCGGTCTGGCTTCGGCTGCCCGACCCCGCGCGACCGGCCCTGATCCTCTACCTTTGCCCCTTCCGAAACCCGCGGAAGCATCCCAAGGGTTGTTGTCGAATGCGTCGTTCAGGGATTCGCGGTAGCCCTCGCCTGAGCGCCTGCCCTGTCGCCCGATGACCCTCCGGGCGCGGCGCGCGGATTTGCCGCTGTCGACGCTGCGCCGCAGCGGCTCGGAGCGCTCGCGCGCCCAGGATAGGCGCGCCGCGCTGTTTCGCAGCGGCGGCCCGCAGCTCGGGGCCGCCC